GGGCTCCAAAATGGTACTTTGCTGTCGCCAGCCAGAAGGCCCCTGCCGAAGGGGCTGACATTGTGATCCATGGGGGAGGCAGGGGTTCCAAAGATTAGGAACTGGCAACTTTACAGCTGCACCAACAGCAAACAGCATGTGGCCATCTCACTCCTGACTCTTGGCAGACTTCCTTTTTTAAAAAAGATGAGCCCGTTTGCAGGGTAGGTAGGGCTGGATACAAGTTGAATGAAATAAATAAGACGCACCATAGATTGATAGAGCAGCAGCATCAGGAAGATTCTGGTATTCTTTGTATTCTTTGTCTGAATTTGCCTTTTTTAGCTGGCAACTTTACAGCTGCACCAACAGCGAACAGCATGTGGCCATCTCACGCCTGACTCTTGGCAGACTTCTTTTTTAAAAAAAAGATGAGCCCGTTTGCAGGGTAGGTAGGGCGGGATACAAGTCGAATGAAATAAATAAGACACACCATAGATTGATAGAGCAGCATTATCAGGAAGATTCTGGTTTTAATCTTCTCTGTATTCTTTGTCTGAATTTGCCTTTTTTAAAATGCAGCTAAAATAGCGCTGCTGACATCTCTCTCTCTCAAACACACACACACAAACCACACCTTCCATCTCTGGCCAGTTTTCTACCCTGCACTTATTTTCAATCTTTTGCAAATCCAAACAGAAGCTGAACTCAGTCAATCAACTTACGCTGGGATAAGACTGCTTTTGATGGGGGCTTTCACAACAGGATGAATCTCCATTTAAAAAAACAACAACCCTGCACATAGAAACATAGACATACAGGGTGAAGAGGGTGAGGTATTCCAACCTAGCTCTCTACTAGCTCTCTGTGTTCAGGGAATTCCTTGCATGTAGAAGCATTCATCCAGGTAAACCACCACCAAAAATGTTACATTCCAGACAGCTGGCCAGACAAACTCTTACTTGGCTAAAGCAAGCCCTGAAGAGCCAGTAAACATGTGCAGCCTGTTCTTCCCTTACTCCTGAGCAGCCACAATATATTCTCCCACTGAAGAGAGTAAGCCGGAGTCCAGGAAATTTAACTCTCAATTTAACTCTCAACACTGCTAGAGCCGAGCCAGATGATGTGGGGCAAACCATTCTCTCTCACGCTCCACCTAAAAGGCAGCTCCGCCTTACAGGGCTGTTGTAAGGACATAAATGGTTCCATTGTGCCTGGATCCAGCTTTGGGTTGCCAATCTCCAGGTGAGGCCTAGAGGTCCCCCAGAATTACAGAGAATGACTATAGCGCTCGGTTCTCCCAGAGAAGACGGCTGCTTTGGAGGGTGGAGTATATGACAACATTCTCCATTAAAGTCCCCTCCCCTCCACAAACCCCAGTCTGGAGTCATCAACCCTAACCCAACTCCCGCTGGACTCCCAGGTGCCAACCAATGTTCCCTCTAAGCTGTGGAGTCTTGTGAGCAAAAACTCTACTTTGTGAGCTACTGGCATTAAAGTTGTGAGCAAGCGATTTGACTCCTGCATCAATTAGTTTGCTCTGGAGCCGTCCTTCCTGAGTGGAGACAAAAATGTGTGATCCAGAGGCTAAAAAATTGTGAGCTAGCTCACGCAAACTCAGCTTAGAGGGAACACTGGTGCCAACTGCAAGGCCAACGGGAGATGACACATCAGGGGGACACCTTTCTGTCCTACCCCGAGACCACTTTCCCCACCCCAAGAACCCTTCTCAGCAAGGTTTGTATCGATTAAGCAGTTGGCTTCCAGTTTGAAAGAAAAGTCGCGTTAAGAACACTGGGTAAAACAAATAACGTAAAACGCCAAGTGCTTAATAGCTATATAAGTGCCGTGCACTATTATTATTAATAATAATTATTATTACTATTAAGCTTACTTAGGTTTGGAAGGATGGGCGGCTGGCTCAAAAGGGGGGAGGTTTAGGTCTCCAGAACCTCTCGAGGGAGGAAAGCAAAAATTAAAAACACCAAAGTGGGGGGGGGAGGGGAAATTTACAAACGCAAGCCAGGGCCCCCCACCACCACCACCAAGTCGCTCCAGCAAACAAGGCCCCCCACCACCACCACCAAGTCGCTCCTCCGGTGAACCTTTCCATGTTGGCAATACAGCATGCAATGGGACTAGGTGTGAGGCGATAATCAAAGGAGCGTAGGGGGCAGAATGGGGGGGGCCTTAATCCGAGGGGAGGCGCAGTCCAGGCCCCAAGAGGAGGGGGGGAAGGAAAGGAGCCGGCAGCGTGCCAAGGTATACCCCCCCACCTACCCAAGGCCCTGGCTGCAGCAGCGTCTCCCATTTGTCATGGGGGGGGCGTCAGAGGCCAGAGTTATGAGCTCTTGTTAAAGAGAGATTGTGGGGGGGGGGAGAAGGAGCCAAGCACAGACAGCCGGTTGGCAGCCAGCCAGCGGCCCCACCTGAAGCCAGCAGTAAATTCAGCCGTCTGCAGAGCGCGAGCAGCAGCTGGGGGAAAGGAGCCGGGAGAGAGGCCAAGGAGGAGGAGGAGGAGGAGGACGGCAAATTCCACCGAGGAGCAGAGGAAATAAAATCGCCGCCCAAGGGGGAGGGAGGGACGGGCCAAAAGCCGATTTGGCTCCCCACCCCAGGTTTTTCCCAGGCCCTGGGCAAATAAAAGGGACTGCGCGGCTAGAGGGGACCAGAAGCCTGGCTAGCCCGGAGGGGGAGCTTGTTTCCAACAGGGGCCAGGGCAAGGGGGCAGCTTCTCAAGAGGGCAGGAAGGGGAAATTATTATTTTTTAATTATTATTCATTTTGATTTGTACCCACCCCGCCCTCCCCACAAAGCAGGCTCAGGGCGGCTCACAGTCAACACATAAACACAGCAATTAAAAACCACACAAAATCATCTAACTGAGGGTCTCCCGTCTCCAGGTGGGGCCTGGAGATCTCCTGGAATTACAACTGACTCACAGAGGTCAGATCCCCTTGAGGAAACGGCTGCTTTGGAGGGTGAACTCTGTGGCAAGACACCCCACTGAAGCCCTGCCCAAACCCCACCCTTCCCTCCCCCTTTTTATGCAGTTTCCGACACTTAATGGAAAAGCGGCCTGCGCGTTCTCTCAAAGAAATAAATCTGCGGATTTTCGTACAAAGAAGGCGGGGATTCGGTTCCTCTCCCTTCCTCTCTCAAGATAAGTCCCCGTCCCACGGTGGGGGCAGCAATGAGGGGGAAGGTTTCGCCTGCGAGCCCTGCTGACAAGCTAGGGTTGCCAACCTCCAGGTGGGGTCCAGAGACCTCCCGGAATGGCAACTGATCTTCGGATGACGGAGATCAGTTCGCCTGGAGGGAAAGGCTGCTTTGGGTGGGGAATCGAGGGCGTTACGCCCCGCTGAGGTCCCTCTCTACCCTAGACCCTGCCTTCACGGGGTCTGCCCCCAAATCTCCAGGAATCTCCCAACCCAGAGTTGGCAACTCAAAGACGGGCCCACCTGGGCATTTGGCTGGGCATTATCGGAAACAGGAGGTGAGACTAGATGGACTGTGGCCGCCATCCAACAGGCTTCTGCTGTGTTCCTAACTGAAGAGGCCAACGGCATCTACTCACCACTTACACCTTCCCTCTCCTCTCCCCCTTTTCCTAAATTTAGACTCCGAGATCCTGGGAGGGGGGGAGAGCTCCCTTTTGGTGATCAGGCTGAAAAACTGCCTACGTGGAAGATTACCCTCCATTTTCATCCCCAATGGGGACCCAAAAAGCTGCTTACATCATTCTCCTCTCAGTTTTAGCCTCACAACAGCCCGGTGAGGTAGGTCAGGCTCGCAGTGTGCCACTGGCCCAAGGTCACCAGGCAGCTTCCGTGGCAGAGGGGGGGCTCGAACCTGTGCCTCCCAGGTCCCACTCCAAGTCTCTGATCACTATGCCACACAGGGTCTCCGTGTCAGTGCCTTACGGAAGTTAATTCCAATTTTTGTAACAATTAAAAATATTCCTCGTACTCACCTGTTTGTGCATTTCGATGTTCAGACCATAGGACATTTCATAATACTGTGAGAGAGGGAGAGACACAGTGACAGACAGACAAGAGAAAGTTTTTAAAAAGACATTGCCAGGAATAGGAATCTTTAGCCTGATTATCTGGGATCTCCAGAATTTACTGCCTGGCTCTGGTGCTCAGGGAATCCCATTCACCCTCCGGTGCATGCCGAATTTCAAAGAAAAGTAAATCTCAGAGCCAGAACAGAGGCTAAGAACACATCAAATCAAAGGGAGTGAGAGAGCATCAGTAGAGCCCTGCTGGATCAGACCAGTGGTCCATCTAGTTCAGCATCCTGCCTCAAACCGTGGCCAACCAGTTCCTCTGGATGGCCAACAACAGGGCAGAGAGGCTGAGGCCTTCATAAGAACATTAGAAGAGCCCTGCTGGATCAGACCAGTGGTCCATCTAGTTCAGCATCCTGCCTCAAACCGTGGCCAACCAGTTCCTCTGGAGGGCCAACAACAGGGCATAGAGGCCGAGGCCTTCATAAGAACATCAGAAGTGCCCTGCTGGATCAGACCAGGGGTCCATCTAGTCCAGCATCCTGCCTCACATAGTGGCCAACCAGTTCCTCTGGAGGGCCAACAACAGGGCAGAGAGGCCGAGGCCTTCATAAGAATATTAGAAGAGCCCTGCTGGATCAGACCAGTGAGCATCCATCTAGTCCAGCATCCCGTCTCACACAGTGGCCAACCAGTTCCTCTGAAAGGGCAACAACAGGGCAGAGAGACGGAGGCCTTCATAAGAACATCAGAAGAGCCCTGCTGGATCAGACCAGTGGTCCATCCAGTCCAGCATCCTGTCTCACACAGTGGCCAACCTGTTCCTCTGGATGGCCAAGAATAGGGCAGAGAGTCCGAGACCTTCATAAGAACATCAGAAGAGCCCTGCTGGATCAGACCAGGGGTCCATCTAGTCCACCATTCTGCCTCACACCATGCCCCCCATGCTTCTCTTCCTCAGGAATTAATCACTGCCAACCTCCCTCCCCCCTCCTCCAAACCAAAAGCAGAAAGACCCTGAAGAAATATGCACCTGGTTAAAAGCAGGCAGTTCTCAGGGTCACAGGGGCCAAGAAACCCAGAACAGACTGGTGAGGCCAGCGAGTCAATGGCAGAGGATACCCGGGCCAGTTTGGTCTTCAGGCCAGCACATTTGGGGGCCCGCCTCCAGCTGAGGCCTGAAGTTCTCCGGGAATTACAACCGATCTTCAGAATACAGAGATCAGCTCCCTTGGAGAAAATGGCTGTTTTGGAAAGCGGCCAGTATGGCATTATAACCCTGCTGAGGTTGCTCCTTTCCCCCAAACCCCGTTGTCCACAGGCTCTGCCCCCAAATCTCTAGTAATCTCCTCAACCCAGAGTTGGCAACCCAAGTTAGAAGAGCAAACCCAACTCTGGTTCTCTGCTCATTCAGTTCTGCAGTCCCCCTTCCCTGAGGAGAGGCCATGGCTGAGTGGTTGAGCCTCCGCTTGGCATGCAGAAGGTCCCAGGTTCAGTCCCCGGCATCTCCAGGTGAAAAGGACCAGGCAGGAGGTGGCGTGACAGACCCGTCTCTGCCTGGGACCCTGGAGAGCCGCTGCCGGTCTGAGGAGACAGGACTGATTTCGACGGACCGAGCGACTGACTTAGTACTGAGGCGGCTTCATGTGTGTTCCTTCCCACAACCCCCCAGAGGAAACAGCTCCAGCGGAAAGCTACCAGCGCTGGGATTATCACCTGAGCAGGCGGCCCGGCTCCTTCGCCAAGCCAGGACGCGGCGGGGCCACAGCTCAGAGGAAGGAAAGCGAGCACACTGCCCTGCCTGGCTCAGGGTCACAGCTGCCACCACTCCCCCTCCCCCCACCGCTGCTCCAGGTAGGCCGCTCACCATGACATAATGCCGCTGGATTTCCGTCTTTTCTGTCGCCAGCTTTTCGCATTCGAGCTTCAAGCTGTAAAAATAGAACAGGGAGGGCAGCAAAAGCCCAGCACGTTCCATGTACACAACAACAACAACACACACACACGCGCAAGGCTTCACAGCCCATCTGCGCAACCGAAACCTTGGGACAGGTCTCCAGGGGACTGTTAAGGAGAGCACACTGGCGCGCGCAGGTCTCCCTACCCTGTTTTACTTTCACAACAGCCCTGAAGGGGCTGTTAAGCAGAGAGAAAGTGACTGGCCTGAGGTCACCCAGCGAGCTTTGTGAGCGAGGCAAGACTTGAACTCAGATCTCCCCGATCTTAGTCCAACCATTACACTAACTGTTCATTTTTTTCCAATTGGGGGAAATTCTCCATTTGTTTGTGGGAAGCCAGTTACTAAAGTTATTTTTAATAACCCATTACTTATTTAATATGTTTTTATCCCATCCTTCCTCTAAGGGTTATCCTCCCCCATCCCACTTTTATCCTCACAACAACATTGTGAGGTAGGTTGGGCTGAGAGAGAGACTGACTGATGGGCACTCCTAATCCAACCACTGGGCCATGCTGCTACTTTGCACAGGCTAGGCTGTTAGCAGGGAGGAAAGGAACGTTCCGCCCACAACCTCCACTGCCAATCACCTCAAGTCATTCCAGGCTCCAACATTACTGATACCGTGCCCTTCCATCTGCCTGGCACTCTACCCAACAGAAGAACAGCAAGTCTCTGCCCAAAGGAGATTCCAACCTAAAATTTGCCGTCAAGATAGCCAAGACAGAGGCGGGAAAAGGAGGCAGAGATAAATCAAAGGAAGAATCTATATAGTGCATTTATAGCCTGCCACCCCTCTAAGCTCAGAGAGATTTACGGGGCTCTCCCTTCCCCCCCTTCATCCTCACAACAACCCAGTGAGGTAGGGTTAGGCTGAGAGAGAAAGTAGCGAGCCCAAAGTCACCAGGTGAGCTTCACTGGCTGACTGGGAATTTGAACCTGGGTCTCTCTAGCCCCGTATATGATGCTGTAGCCCATTATACTCCACTAGCTCACGAAAAACCCCTTAAGACCACATGAAATGGTACGTTCAAAAGACACACGGCTTTACATCTTGCCCTGTTAGTCAAGGCAGCTTCTAAATTTGCAAAACTATTATTACTGTTTACATTATTATTATTAAACTAATGAAAAAGAAGAGATTGGATTTATACCCCGCCCTTCGCTACCCAGTGGAGTCTCAAGAGTGGCTTACAAACTCCTTTTCCCTTCCCCTCCCCACAACAGACACCCTGGTAGGTGGGGCTGAGAGAGCTCTGACACAAAGTGCTCTTTTTCCAAGAACAGCTCTTATCAGAACTACGGCTTGCCCAAGGTCATCCAGCAGGTGCAAATGGAGGAGTGGGGAATCAAACCCGGTTCTCCCAGATTAGTGTCCACGCACTTAACCACTACACCAAACTGGCTGGGCCACACAGCTTCCATTCTTGAGAATGCTTTGGAAAAGACAAGCAGTTAAAGTTTAGGGTAGGGTGAAACACCGGAGCTAAACACTGTAGAGATGAGAATTTTAAAAAATAATAATAATGGAAAAAAGACCTTTAATCTTCATCCTCATCCCACATACAGACGAGGCTGCCCACTGCATCTCTGCATGAACCACTGCTCTGGTTTGCTTCCAACCACCCCCTACTTGGACTGGGAGATTCTTTGGTATTATCTGTGGTGGGTGCAACTGAACAACTCAATTCCACCCAAGGCAGAGAGGTAGCAGAATTATACTCTGAGAAGGCTTTCCGCTGTGTCTCTGCACAAGTCATTATCTCCTTCTAGTCAGGAGGCACATCCAGCCCAGTGACTCACGCGGAAACACAAGAAGCAGGATCTCCCAGGCCATGCCATTTCCCACCCTGACCCATGCTCAGAGCCAGGAGCAGACCAATCCCCTGAGTTTTAATTCAGCGGCCCTGGTAATCATTGGACATTGGAGGAGGACAGAACTTCTACAGGACAAAGGATAAACGACAAAAACGTATCTTACCTGTGATACTGGTTCTGCAGGAACTGAAATTCTTCTTTGATGCGATCCAAGACCTCTGGGTACGTCAGCTTCAAGGACTGGGGGGTGGTTGAAACTACACTGGCTGCGGCGGCAGCAACAGCAGCTGCTGCGGTGGCAACAGGTGGAGCCTGCAGATGAGCCTGAGACAGAGAGCACTGATCACTACCAGATCACTACTTCATCACCCAAAGAGTCATCAACAGGTGGAATTCACTGCCACAGGAAGTGGTGGCGGCTACAAGCACAGACAGCTTCAAGAGGGGACTGGATAAATACATGGAGCAGAGGTCCATCAGTGGCTATTAGCCACCAGGTATAGAGGGAACACTCTGTCTGGGGCAGTGATGCTCTGCCTTCTTGGTGCTTGGGGGAGGGCACCAGTGGGAGGGCTTCTGGAGTTCTGGCCCGGCTGGTGGACCTCCTGATGGCCCCTGGGTTTTGGCCACTGTGTGACACAGAGTGTTGGACTGGATGGGCCACTGGCCTGATCCAGCATGGCTTCTGTTGTGCTCTACTAAACAGTGACCTCATCTTTTCCACTATAAGGCCACTTAGTTTAACTCATCAGATACTGAGGCCTATCAAACCCCAATTAAATAAACCAAAGCAAGCTATAAATAAAGTAACAGAAAGGGGGATTTTTATGTTTCCTGTCCGCTTTATTCATCAGGATGCTAGTTCTTCTTCAGCCCTAACAGGCCTTGCATTTATTGTGTTCATAACAGCCTTTCTCACTGTAGCAGGTTCTAGGTAAGGATCTTCTCGATACTGATTGATTTTGAACTTGTTTATCTTGGGAAGCCTTTTTTGTGCGTTACTTGCACCACTTTAAGAAGAACGCATACTCTAAGTTTGATGAAAAAGGACGATTTATAACAGGCTTTGTGATCCTAAGCAGTATCACCCCCCAGTTTCCCACCCACCCAAAACCTCACCAAGGGTTTACAACATGTAATTTCACTAACCAGTTCAACAAGGAGTTAATTCAGTTTAAGGGAAAACTTATTAAGCAGTGGAATCCCCTACAGAATGAGAAAACTGAAGTCTGCAAGGAATCTCAAGCCAGGCTGGGGGGGGGAATAACTCACCGGGGGCCGGTTTTGGGGGAACATGTTTGATGAGACACCATACGCCCTCTTCTTGCAGTATGACTTCTGAGATCAGCGTTTCATCCCAAGGAACAGAACTTAACATGGCCAGAGGTCGCAACAGATGGGCAAGAAGGCAGAGGGAGAAGAAGAGACCGCCAGTCACAAGAATTCCCAATAATTAATTAGAAAAACACCAGTCTAATAGTCTCAAAAACAGCCCATTTCCTATATAAGCAGCAGAACCTTCTATGCTGGAACAGTTTATAGTTTTTCCTTCCCTCCGTTTGCCCCCCCCACAAAAAAAAGGTAGATATGGACACTATTATTAAAACTAGAATCAAGAAGGCATAAGTGCTGAATGTCTTCACACGATGTGCAATTAAGAAATGCCACAAGAAGCAGCAGCAACCATTGGTCAAGAGATATTCACAGGCCTGTCAACAGCACAACAACAAAACAGAACCTCCACATTTAGATGCAGTATACACCTAAAGACCAGTGGTGTGCTGGGAAGTTTCCTTTATGTCCCGAGGAAGAGTTTCCCAGGTGCACCTGTTAGGACACTACTGGATGTAGAATCCTCAGTTAGATGAACCTTAGGCCCGATCCAGTAAGATTCACCCCCTCCCAAGATATACTCTCTTGATACATGGAGGTTCTGCTTCATTATCATGGCTGTCAACAGAAAGGGTACACACCAACCAATGTATTTTAATAATACAATCTTTTAACTGTTGATGGAGAACCACCACTAGAGATAAGACAGCCACAGCTGACAGAAAAAGACTTGGCTGCGCAAGACTGCGCATTCCTCCAGTCCTCATTAACCAACCCAGAAGGACAAGGTTTAAGAGCCCCCACGCAGCCCAAAGAACACAGGAATACAGATGTAAGGCCAGCCAAGGCTATTAAGAGATATCAAGCCCCGATTAAGTCATTCAGGAAGAGCAAAGTTGAGTGCTTCTATTCAAGGCAGCAGATTTCAGCAGGGATCTGAACCCAGGACTCCTCAACAGAAGCTGGCCCAGCAAGGAGTAAAGCAAAGCAACTGACTCAGGTAACGGACTCTGGACGCCACGCAGGACCCGATCCACCAAGAAGCCCTCCTGCACAACCTTCAACACGACAGAGTGACACAACACTTCAGCACCGGATTTCAACAGAGGGAGTTTTCCTGGAAGTTCACACACACCCCTTTCTAATCAGCAGGGCAGGGGGACCCTTTGGACTTTCCACAAAGATTTGGGCCCAAAATATAGACACCCCCGCCCTGGCCACCACACCCTGCTCTGAGATTAGGGAACGCCAGATGTGCAGGCCACGGTCGCCACCCCCCACCAGATTGACTACATGCCACAACTCACAAACTGACCCATGCCCACCCAACCACCAGCCAGGGGCTTCTTGGCCTCCTCCCAGTCGATCTTCTCCAAGCATGAGGTCAGGAAATTGGCATCCCCCCACCCCCACCCAGCTCCTTCCCCCTTAACCCTGCAGGGGTGAGAGCTGGCCAAAACCGGCACCTGCAAGAAAGCACTCTGCCCATGCTCAGGAGTGCCCTGCTTTTCTTGCCGCGGTGGTGACAGGAACCAGCCTGGGGGGTGGGGGGAGGAAGGTCAAGAGAAGCCATGTTTCCCCCTGGCCTGCTCTGAACCCTAAGGGAATCCAAGAAAGGAAATGGGGGGGGGGGCACAGAGAGGGGCTGACCTAGATAGTTTTCTACAAGAGATTAATCTCAGTGAGGTGGATGGAGCAGATTTTTTAAAAATGCACATAGTACAAGATAGGACGTGTTCTTCCATAAGAGGAAATGCCAGTGGCTGCATTGGACTTGGATATTCCCAACAGTGTGAAAATTAACAGAAATATAGGAATACTGGAATAAGAACTATTTGTTTCCCATATATGCAGATATATCTGATCCGCTTCAAGGAACAGAACCAGAAATGGGTCTTGATAATGCTATCTCCTACACATGCTATTTTCCAATAAATCCCTTAGAGGAATACACATGCATTAGGGAAGCTAACCTTTACTTGAATATCCTAGGACACTTTTATAGGTGAGTCTGTCATTTGATTAACACCAACAATGAACCTTCTACAGTATGATGTGTAGGTCATGGAAATACATTTTTCCCAACCAGCAAATTCTCTACCTTCTCTCCACCATCCTCAGTAATTAGGAAAATGGAAGTTATTTATTTATTTAATTTGTATCCCGCCCTTCCTAGATGGGCTCAGGGTGGCTTCCAACAGCGGCAAATGCCATAACACCCTTAAAGGACCGGAGCAGGGAAATTGGTTAACCCTTCAGAGTCTGGGTCAAAGGGAGAGAGAGAAAAGAGCCGGGTAACCCTTTCGGGTCTGGGGGAAGAGGAAAACTGGTTAGCTCTTCCCAGTCTGGAGGGACAACCGCGGAAGGACGGGGGGCACTGGAGGAAAGGGGGGGTCGTTTAACCTTTAAATGACTG